GCTGCTGAAGCATGGAGGAAGTGTGACAGGTGCAGGACGTGTGTTTCTTTAACCCTCGTGTGCCCATGAGGACATCTGGTCCTTCTCATTGTGGATCATTCTGGCTGTGGTGGTGAATTTTACAGTTTTCACCTCAGTGCCCCAAAATACACTAATAATAGACTGTATGCAACACGTCCCCACTGAAACCCATGAAGCTGCTGGTTCTGACCCATCATGACATCGTCGAGTCATTTCTGTTAGTAGCTTTACATTCTGGAGCTTTTTTTACTGTGTTCCATCCCATTGTCTCAGTTTCTCATCTCTGATGGAACGTGTGTGTAGGTGTGTGTGTGTACATTTGCAGATATAGACATTCTACTGTCCTGCACATCACAAACTCCACCACGCTGTCTGTCTCTCACACGTATATGGACGTGCACACTCAGGCCTACACACTCGATATACTTTATTAGACCTCAGACGTACAGCATGTTTCTGTGTATGAGTTTCAGCTCTGAGTGTGTGTGGTGGGTGTACGCCTATCGTCTCATCAAGGAGACCCGTTTAGAAGACGTGGACGACATCAAGATGGCTGTGAGGACGGAGCTGAGAGGATCCTGAAGAATCCTTCCAGGAGTGAAGAGAAGGCAGGAGGAGGGTGGTAGACTCCAGGAAGGAGTACTGGGACGGGGAACACTGGGAGTTTGGGTTTGAAATCTATCTGTTGTGACACCAGTCCTGGAACTGTTCTGACACACCTGGTACTTCTGTATCTACATGTCGTGTTTGTGGCCTTTACATCATGTATCTCAGACACAAACCATTTTCGGCATAAACGTGTTCCACCAGCCTGCAGAATTCTACAATACAGCAGGAAGCAACGCAACACACAAAGCCTGTAAAAGCTCCATCGACTAGAAACACTGAACAAAACCAGAAACGCAACACTTCTGGTTTTGATCCCATTTTTCATGAGCTGAACACACAGATCTGAGGCTGTTTCTATCCACACCAAAGGCCTGTTTCTGTCAGATATTGTTCACAAACCTGTGTCAGTGAGCACTCCTCCTCATCCATCCAGCTCACAGGTGTGGCGTGTCAAGATGCTGATTGGACAGCAGGATTGTTGCTCAGGTGTGCCTCGGGCTGGCCACTGGAGATGTGCGTTTTTATCACAGCACGATGCCGCTGCTGGCTGTGTGAAGACGTGTTGTGTTTGTGTTTTTGTTCAGTGTATGAAAAAATGAGACAGTCTGATGGAAAACAGTAAAAATGACAATTTTGTAGCCACGGCTCCAGAATTTAAAGCTAATAACAGAAAGCATGACTCCATGATGTAATGATGGGTCAGAACCAGCAGCTTCGCGGGTTTCAGTGGGGACGTGTTGGTCTTTAAGGTCCTGAGTGTCACGGCTTTCATGGTACACTTCATAAAAAATAAGAATGCATCAGAATCAGTGTGAGTGTTGATTGCTGTTGATGTGGACATTGGTGTGCAGCTGTTCACGTGGACGGGTTCAGGAGAACCACCATGAAGAACCTGAATGCTGCTGCTGCAGTCACTGGGTTCATACAGGAGCCTCCTGCTGTCCTCCTCTCTTTGTTGTTCTGTGTTCTAGTTTCTGTGTTCTCCTCTCTTTGTTCTAGGGTTGTCTCAGGTGTGCACCTGTCTGTCTCCATGGAGGAGCTGGTCAAACACCTGTCCAGGTGTCAGCACCTGGGCTGGATGAATGTGATCGGTGAGTGCGCTGGCAGACAGACGTCTCACTCTGCCTGATGTCTGATGTGTTTACAGCCTTTGAGCCAAACGTAACAGTAAGAAGTCCACTGATCAGAAACCACGGAAAGGTCTGAGCTGATCACTTCTACAGGAGGGTTCAGATCGAGTTTCATACACTCATGTTTATCGTCACATACTTCAGGGTCACGCTTCACAGTAAATCTTAGTTCTCAGTGACCTGGCGTTAGCTGATGGACTCATAAAACTTTATTCGCCATTTGTGTTATAATTCTTCAAGGATTTGTTTAGATAGTACATTTAAAAAATGCATTTGCTCATTTCTTTGATATTGTTGATGTGGGGCTGCAGGTGTCTCAGTGGTTAGNGTCCCCATAAACACCTGTCCCCTCTGTGTCCCTGTAAACTGCTGTCAGGGCTGTCTGTGGGTCTCGGGTGAGTTTGGATGAATCAGGATTCAAAGCTGCTCAAGATGCTGTACAAAACAAAGAAACAAACAAAAAACAGTATTTAGTGAAAACAAACAAAAAACTTTGAAGTTCAGCCAAAGACCAACAAACACACACACACACACACACACAGGCACTCAGCAGTGATGTTTGTTGTGTAGTTTTGTGTACCTGTTGTGTTTGGCTGTAATGTGATCAGTCTGACAGCAGGTGGAGTTCTTCTTCTACTCTTCTGTCAAAACAAAAGTTTTTCTTCTCGTCTTCTGATTTGTCAAACAGTCAGAGTTAGTTTCCTGTAGTTCCCCCCAGCTGTCAAACAGCACGCTGCCTCACCTGTCCTCACCTGTCCTCTCTGCTGTGGTCCACTCAGCAGTTGAACCTCCGTGTTCAGTTTGTGTAACTGAACAGAGAAGCTCTTCGGTCACGTCTACCTGTGAAGTTCCAGTGACACCTGCAGTTTGTTTTGCCTGAAGAACAACCCGACAGCTTCCTTACGAACTGCTTGCAGGCTCTGATGTGTGTGCTTGTAATGTAATCGTTTAGCAGATGATGTCAGCAGCTCCACCTGAGTCTGTTTGTGTCCAACACAGAACACACCTGGAGCTCACCTGGACGTCACCACAAACACGCTGGTTTAATCTTCAGTCTCTGCAGACACATGAATCTGCAGCTGCCACATGATCCCATCTGTAGAATCACACCTGCTAAGCTCACCTGAGAGGAGGCAAAAAACGACAGATCCTTTAACGTGAGGACTCAGTTTCCCAGAATGCCCTGCGCTCACCTGCAGGTGTTTTCTTGCACTACCATCCAGTCAGTATCTATGCAAACACCAAGTTCAACTCCCCTTTGATAATCAATCAGGCATTGATCAGTGATCAGGAGCTCTGCCAGTCAGTTCTGTTTGTTTTTTGGTGTCACAGCGTAGCTTGAAGCTAATGCAGCCCATGGTTCTGAATAAGGAATGCTAACAGTGCTAACGGTCTCTGAGACGTTAAAATGTCACTCTGTCACTTTAAACGCTGCCATAGTAACCATGCTTTGCTCCCATTGGCCTGTCAATCGATTGTTTTGAACATGTGACTGTTTCTGTTCAGCTAACCAATCAGCTGCCAGCTTTCTCTGGAATAAAAAAAAATAAACTGACCTTTGACCTTTGAC